GAAATCGATCGGTGTAATCGATTGATACATGGGCACTAAGCAAGGCGAATGGTCGTTCACATTTACCTGACGCGAACAGGAGATCAGACATCACGCTTTGACGATGGAAGCGAGCGAGCTTTCGAAACGTCAGCCAGAATACACTTTGATCCCAGAAATCGTCTCCACTTCTTCTTCCTCTTCCGGGGATGGTGTAAGGAATATTTGATCTGGACCTCGAATTTTTTCGCAATCTTGTACGCTTTGCTTGCTTTGAGTACGCTGTACTAGGTATGCGAAAAGTCTTCTACTTTTGCGTTCTTCTTGTTGTTTTCTTTCTTGGGGACGCACACAACGCGTAATCAGACGGTGATATCTCGGCTTTTGGCCACATTTACAATATAACTGGCACATCTCATGAAAATTCTAGAATGTGTTTTCGACTCGAACACATTTGTTGAAAATGGTTGTAATATTGATTACCGTGCAGCTTGATATCAAGCTATTTCAGTCACGTCAGGGTGTTGGCTTTTTAGCGACTTCTTTCCAAACACCAGGAAGATGCACACTCCGTAAAACGGTTACTTAAGTAGCATGCATTTTATAATTAATTTCTGAGTGTCATGTCAAGGCTAATAATCAAGACACTGCGAACGTAGGATATTGGTAATTCACTAGACTGCGCATCAGCCCAAAATCGTTGGCCTTAAGTTCACCAGTATGACAATATCTCACTATGAACTGCATGCAAAAAGTCTGATAACAGAAGTCCACGGTAATTCGACAGAAGTAACAAGTTGGTCTTATGTCCCTTTCTTAGCCAAGGCGCAGTGCTGGAGACAGGAAAAGAAAGACGATTACCGGGCAAAATAACCTATTCTCCCCTCTTTTTCTAAGCAGTTGAAAGGCACAAATGAGACTTACGAGACTATCCAAGGAGGGATGAGAGCTTGCAAACTTGGTACAAAACTTTGACACTTCTTTTGGCTGAGAAAGATCCACAATGTGAACGTGAACATTCTAGAAAAAAAGAAAGTTGGTTAAAATTAACACGTAAAAAAAGACAACAACCAAAAAAATGCAGGAGTCTATTAAGGGGAAGATGAAGATGAATTTCATGTAAATTTGCACCATTTTGTGGTGTGGATGTGTCCGCAAGAATAAAGTTCGCCGGCAGCCTTAGATACCCCTAGTCCTAGGATTCTGTCTTACGGGACTGGCCAATAATTGGGGTTTTATTGGTGGGTCACATTAGCGGAAAGAAAAGCATAAATTAAAAAGAAGAACGCATAAAAGCAGAAAATAACAGGAATAATTATTTACATAAGCTTATGTTTGGAGCGCGATTATTAGAACTAAAAATATAACCAATGACTAACAAGAGCTCTGTGGAAGTACTCGCGAACTAGATGCACACCAATATCGAAATTTAGGTATTAAAGTAAAACCTTGAAAGAGAGGCTTTGCCCCATTTTTTAAAACTCGCAATAGCTTCTAATGCATTTAGATAGATATTGTAGTACGATAAGCCGAAAAGCAGTCGCGTGTCGCTTAGAAAATTAGATTAAGGTAAAAACTAAACTGACTAAAACTATAGCTGAAATTAAACTAAAAACCAAAATAAAGTAAAACTAAAATCAACCCTAACAGACTAAAAGTTTCCGTGTTGGGGATACGCCTATTAAAATGCATACAGTAGTTATTTAACCCATTACCTCTCATAATTTTAACCACTTTGATTTTTGTTATGAAACT